TAGCCAGGATGGTCTCGATCTCCTGACCTCGTGATCCGCCCGCCTCGGCCTCCCAAAGTGCTGGGATTACAGGCGTGAGCCACCGCACCTGGCCCATTTTTGTATTTTTAATAGAGATGGGGTTTCACCATGTTGGCCAGGCTGGTCTCGAACTCCTGACCACAAATGATCCACCCGCCTTGGCCTCCCAAAGTGCTGGGATTACAGGTGTGAGTCACTGCACCTGGCCACCAGTTCCTTTGCAGATATGTGTTTTGCAAATATTTTCTTCCTGTCTATGACTTATCTTGTCCTCTTAACAGTATGTCTTTTGAAGAGTAGAAGTTAAACTTAATGAAGTTCAGTTTAACAATCTTTTTCTCTTATGGTTTCTGCTTTTGCTTTTATATCTAAGAAATCTTTGCCTGACCCAGTCGCAAAAAAACATTTTCCTATGTTTTCTCCTAGAAGTTCTATAGTTTTAAGTATTGTATTTAGGTCTGTGATCCATTTTGAATTATTTTTGTATATAGTGGGTCAAAGGTTTTTTGTTTTTTTGTTTTTGGCTTATGAATATTCAATTGTTTCCAGCACCATTTGTTGAAAAGATTTTCTTTCTCCACTGAATTATCTGAGCATCTTTGTTGACAGCCAGTTGACCATGTATATATGGGTCTGTTTCTATGCTCTATTCTGTTACATATATGCTTACACCTGTACACACTGTCTTGATTAGTGTAGTTTGATTACTGACTCTTTGTTCTTCTTTTTCAAAACTACTTTGGCTATTCTAGGTCCTTTGGTTTTCCATAAAAATTTTTAGAATTAGCTTGTTGATTCTACAGAAAAGAGTCTGGGCACGGTGGCTCACGCCTGTAATCCCAGCACTTTGGGAGGCCGAGGTGGGCGGATCACGAAGTCAGGAGATCGAGACCATCCTGGCTAACGTGGTGAAACCCCGTCTCTACTAAAAAAAATACAAAAAATTAGCTGGGCATGGTGGCAGGCCCCTGTAGTCACAGCTACTTGGGAGGCTGAGACAGGAGAATGGCGTGAACCCGGGAGGCGGAGCTTGCAGTGAGCAGAGGCCACTGCACTCCAGCCTGGGCAACAGAGCGAGACTCCATATCAAAAAAAAAGAGTCTGATGGGATTTTTTTTGAATCTGTAGATCAATTTGGGAATAATTGAATCTTAATTGTTTATATTGAGTCTTCTGATTCATTAACATAGTTTATCTCTCCATTTAGATATTATTTATCTGCTCTGCTTTTATGTATTTTTTGGATTTGTTGGAAAACTGTAGGAGAGGGAAGTAACATTTACTGCCTACCTACCTTCTCCATTCTGGGCTCTTTACATATCTCAGTATTTCACACAGTATAGGATGCTCTCTGGTTTTCCTTAAGTAACATTAAATCCCATGGGTAGAAATTCCTTCCCTTCGTAATTTTTTTTTTTTTTTAAATTTTGAAGACAGAGTCTTGCTCTGTCACCCAGGCTGGAATGAAGTGGCGTGACCCCGGCTCACTGCTACCTCCACCTCCTGGGTTCAAGTGATTCTCTTGCCTCAGCCTCCCTCAAATAGCTGGGACTGAGCTGGAGTGCAGTGGCACAATCTTGGCTCACTGCAACCTCTGTCTCCTGGGTTCAAGTGATTGTCCTGCTTCAGCCTCCCAAGTAGCTGAGATTACAGACGTTCCCCACCACACCCGACTATCTTTAGCAGAGATGGGGTTTTGCCATGTTGGCCAGGCTGGTCTCAGGCTCCTGATCTCAGGTGATCTGCCTGCCTTGGCCTCCGAAAGTGCTGGGATTACGGGTGTGAGCCACTGCGCCCAGCGGCAACTTCTTATCTATGTTCTGTCCTTATAGTTTTGCCTTCTTCAGAATTCCGTACAAATAAAATCATGTAGTATTTTTCTTTTTGATTCTTCTTTTGCTTAGCATACTGTATTTGAGATTCAATCACGTTGTTGCCTGCAAGTAGTTTTTTTTTGTTGTTGTTGCGCATAGTGTTTCATTGAAAGGATGTACCACAGTTTATTCCTTTCCTGATTGAAGGACATTTGTGTTGCTTCCAGTTTTTGGCAATTATAAATAATAAAACCACTATGAATATGTACGAGGTTTTGTGAGAACACACATCTTCATTTCTCTAGGAGTATGATTGTTGGGTCAAATGGTAAGTGAAGTGTATGTTTGATTTTATAAGAAATCAAGACTTGGGCACAGTGGCTCACACCTGTAATCCCAGTACTTTGGGAGGCTGAGGAGCACGGACCGCTTGAACTCAGGAGTTTGAGACCAGCCTGGGCAACATGGTGAAATCCTGTCTCTACATAAAAAATACAAAAATTAGCCTGGCTTGGTGGTGTACACCTGTAGTTCCTGCCACTTGGGAGGCTGAGGCAGGAATATTGCTTAAGCCCAGGAGGCAGAGGTTGCAGTGAGCTGAGATCGTGCCACTGCACTCCAGCCTGGGCGACAAAGTAGAGAGCCTGTCTTAAAAACAACAACAACAAAAATGTAGCTTAGGTAGTCTGTCACTGTGGCAAGGTCGTATATGACATAGTATGTGGGTATGGCAAAGATACTTGCTTTTTTTTTTTTTACACTGAGTCAGAAAATTATTTTAATAACAAAACTTTTTTTTTTTTTTACAGAATCATTATAAAATAGCAGTTGGTTACTCCATAACTGCCAGAATTATTTGTACTTGAGGTCTTGGCTAAGTGGGGCTGAAATCAACAAAAGGTCTTGGACTGTTGGTTCACAGATCATCCTAGGAAGCCTGCCCTCTTGATATCTATCATACTTACCTCTTATGACATGACCCAGTCCTTTAAAAAAAAAGTATCTCTCTTTCTTTATTCATTCTTTGGAGGCTTGAAGTGAATTTGGCACTGTTTATTAAATACCTTCTAGCCTTTGTCTTTTACCACTTCTTCAACATTTGGTTCTGACTGCATCCATTTCAACTTTGTCTGCTCTTTTCCAGGTTGCTTTAATAACGTTAAATAGTCCAAATTATTTTCTCTGTCTTCTCGGAGGTTTTTTTACTACTTCTGAGGTCTGGGCTATACAATTTTTTATGACTCTGTTCCTACTGGCAAGAGCTGCCATC